GTCTGTAAAGTCCACAAGAGAAAACTGGTGTTAAATCAAAGCTGCAGCTGAAATATAACAGTGTTTAGTTGAATAAAAACTGAAGTAACTGTGTGTACAGCCTATATGACGACTCCATTATTACTTAGCAATTAGAAAAGCTGCTGAAATGATCCAGTCAAGTTGCAGCTAAAATACAGAAGCACAGACCAGTTGAAAAAACACAAAGTGAAACTGTAAAAGTAATAAAAGAGCAGAAAACTGTGAGTTGATTTATGAGACGCTATATTAACTGAGTCCTTGGATACAAGTCAAAATACTACAAAACACTCAGCTGAATGTTTGAACTCCTATTTTCTGTGGTTGAACCGAGCAGATGGGAAAAACACTTTAGATTAGAGTGTGATCAGTGGCAGAAGAAGCACTGAGATCCTTTACTGAAGTCAAAGTAGAAAAACTCCTGCCTTCATAATGTACTTGAAGTACCAACAGTACCAGTACTCGTTCTGCAGAACGGCCTGTGTCCCAGTAATGTCTCTGATACTACGGGATCATAGTGACTGATGCGTTACTGTATCCATTGATTTAATGCTGCAGCTGGTAAAGGTGGAGCTGATGGTAACTACACTTTAAGTTTGTTCGTCTTTGTTACTGAAAACCTGTTCAACACTGTGATATTATTACTGGTAACAAGGGCAAAAGGTCAGCGTCAGGTCCTGGTAAAAGTAGCAACACTATAAAAACACAAGCAAAAGCACCGCATTCAGAATTCTGCTTGAGTAAAAGTACAGATCAGCAAAATGTTCTTAAAGTACCCAAACTAAAGGTACTGATCCTGCTAAACTACAGTTTTAAGTGTCAGGCTATGGAGTCACAATGCTCCCAAAATATGGTTCTAACCTTGTGCACAGGTTTTTGTCTTGTCCAACAACACAGACAAAAGTATTTCAGGACTTGAGGAGCTCTTGTTTGTTCTGTTGCAGGTCAGGAGCCAGATTTGGTGTTGGTGCTGCAGGGTTCGACAGCTACACTGCCCTGTCCTCATAAGACAGGAAATGTGACATGGAGCCGCTTCAGGGGTGGTTCATCAGTGACCCTCGTCACCATCAGAAACGACCAAGAGGTCAAAACTGACCAACGTTACGGGTCCACAGCAGATAACTCCCTGGTGATAATTAATGTTACGGACAATGATAATGCGATGTACCTCTGTAATACAATGAAAGTTTATCTGAAAGTGACCACAGATCGCACCATGGTGGATCCTCCAGCTCAGCCTGAAGACAACCAACCAGTCACACCAATAAACAGGGGCCACACACCTGCAGACACAGAGAACCAACAGGCCCTGGACTGGTGGAAAGTACCTGTGGGTGTAGTCACAGGTGCTACTGTGGTGCTGTTGGTCATCTTAACCCTGAGGCTGTGCTCCAAACACAGGGTGGAGAGAAAGAGCAGCGCGGCTGAGCCTATAACCGATGTGATCTACCAGGAGATCGAAGACGTCGACTTGCAGCCAGGCCGAGAGCCTGATGGAGAAAGTCTGTACTACTGGTCAAGCATCATAGAAACGCCAAACACCGGAACACCACCAAGCACGAACCTGTACAGCACTGTGAACAAGCCAACAACTGAGGGACACAGCAAACAGGAGTGTGTCTATTCCCTGGTGCAAAGTCCAGCAGGAACCAGTCAGTGATCATCACTGTGGCTGTGTCACACGTGCAGGTCTGACCAGGGCCAGCCCAGGCTCTGTTGGTGCCCTAGATTTTAGATTCCCCCCCTTAAAAAATTCTGAAAATGCAGATTTTTCAAAACTTTAGTAAAATATAATGTAACATAACATTACATACTGATAAGTATTAATATAAATAACTAGTTAATTTGTGATAATAAATAAATTTGACTTAGTCACCTGAAGAATCATACAAAAATTAAATTAGAAATTAAAGTGCAAATCAACAAAAAAGTGCAAAAAATACTATTATATTCAGAATTATAGAACAGTTTGAAAACTGAACACGCCTGGATTTCTTTGCAGCAAAGTCATCAATGACTGCATCAAATGACAAATTCTGAGAAACATCATTATTGATGCTGATGACAGCAAGTCCACTGAGATGCTCTTGGGCCATGGTAGACCTCAAGTAGGTCTTAATCAGCTTGAGCTTTGAAAAGCTCCTCTCTGCAGCTGTCACATTCGCTGGGATAGTCACACTTATCCTCAGTGCCACCCACATCTATATTGTTGTTTTTTCTGTTCCTCTTCTTTGTGTCACTTCCTGCCTCGTGCCTCTGATAATTTTCTTTTTTCACTCATTTTTTAAAAATGGCACTTTCAGAGCACATATTTTAACTGCGTGCTCCATGCACTGTCAATGCATGCATAATGATGATGCATTATAATTACGTCATGAAGCAAAGAGTGTTTAAATTAGTACATGACATGTTTTCAAATCTTATGGTTTTTCATTGATGTCAATTTTATTTTATTCTAACATTATTTTAATCACTACAATGATTGATCAGTACTAAAATTGTCAACTGTCAGTAATTAGTTTGCTTATGGGTGTAGGAGCGCATACTGGTCTTCCAAGAAAAAAAAATTTCATGTGCGCCCCCCCAGTCATTTTGTGCCCTAGGCAACTGCCTATTTTGCCTATGCCACGGACCGGCCCTGGGTCTGACTCACAGACAAACCTCACTACAGACTGTTGGCACCGTTTTACCCTGGAGTCGGTTTGATCAACTGCCTCTTGTTTTGAGTATTATTTTCAAAGCCAATAACGATGTCAAACATGTTTGTCTTTTAACTGAATTCTGTCCTTTTTGAGTAAAGATAAAGAGACAGATGTGACATATTCTCTGGTCCAGTAAACCTCAAAATGAGCACTTTGTTTGGTAATGTTGGAAGCGTGGATAGAATCTGAATCACTCAGTGGCAGAAGACGCATTCAGACCCTTTACTTAAATAAAAGTACTAATACTACACTGTAGCAATACTCCATTATAAATAAATGTTCTGAAGAGAAAATGTTACTTCAAGAAAACGATGTAATAATTATCTCTCTGTAGGTACAATCAGAAAACTGGACTGACAGAACAAAAGTCAAAGTATTCCGTGACAACGTCCCCTGTGACTGTTGTACTAGTACTATAATGTTCTGCTGAAAATGGGGTTCATTTTAAATACTTGCTGGGTACGTTGCCAGTTTTCTTACTGTATCTTACCTTAACCGACATTCAGTGGTTCATAACACAATAGTGTAGCTGTAAGCAGATTAAAGTGATTATTAATGTTCAGCACTGGCTCTAACTTCTCATATGAAGATTATGCTATTACAACTCATGATATTTTTATACAAAGGAGAAGAGCTCAGAGCATCATGGCCCCCCAGCAGCCTAGGCCTAAAGCAGCATCACTAAGGGAAGGCTCAGGATCACCTGATCCAGCCCTAACTATAAACTTTATTAAAAAGGAAAGTCTTAAGTCTAATGTTAAAGGTAGGGCGCCTGCCTCCCAAACTGAGACTGGGAGCTGGTTCCACAGGAGAGGAGCTTGACAGCTAAAGGCTCTGCCTCCCATTCTGCTTCTGTGGACTCTAGGAACCACAAGTAAACCTGCACTCTGAGAGAGACAACTTCAGCAGTCAGTCTTTCCCACTACAGTTTATTTATTCACTTCTTACCCAAGAGAGGATGAAGGACCTTTTGCCCTTTCTAAATAAAAGTCATCCAACTCTAATTGCTGCTGATGTAGTTCAACATTGTTCTCTTGTAAATATATTGATAAGATAAATTATTATTTATTTGTTGATTGTAATTTAATTGTTAAAATAAGGCAGTTTAAATATAGTGGAGTAAAAAGTAGTTACAACATTTTCCCTCTGAAATTACAGTATAAAGTATATACAGTATATTATCTATTTTAACACTGAATGAAATGAAATCTCAATGTATGTTAAGGGTTCCGAGTTTAATCTGAAGATAAAGCACGTCCGGTCATGTGACCACGTTGCCATGGCAGCGCATTTTGTTTACATGTAGTCTGAATATGACTTCGCCGCTAAGATAGAGAAAAGGTTTAGCTAAGATTTAGCCGCTGGTTACCGTCAATACCGACTTCTGTCAGCCTGCGCGATATTTCACGATGGTGAGTAGAAACTTTGGGTTTAATCATCAGCTTAATTATAACAGTAATACTGTGGAATACGGTTAGCATGTGCTAATTTAGCATTAGCCAGATAGCATTAGCTTGGTTAGCTAACGGAAAGCGGTTTTAATGGTGTAAATGTTGATGTGTTTTATTTGCAGCCACCCAAAGCTAAAAGCCAGAAGGCGCGGAAGGGAAAGTCGTCCTCTGTGGTGGACGTTCTTTCAACGGAGGAGATGTCCAAGGACCAGGTCACAGCTGCTATCAACTAACTGTAAAATTAGCATGGGTTCAGTGGGTTATCTAGCTGCAAGCAGTTTAAAGTGGTGAGTTCCCGTGGAATGGTGAAGTGGCTTGGATTAGCAGAAAGACTAACACCACCACATATCCAAGTAGTTCCCTTCAGATCTGCATCCCCGGTTCTAACTCTGTTCCCAGGTGGGTTCAGGGGGAGGCAGCCTCTGGTAACCAAACTGCTTCATGTGCACAACTAATGAATCAAACCAAAAAGTCTCCCACTCGGCCATCACTTTAGACAGCTTCAGGTTAGAGGTTTTGTCACGTCTTGTTGCTCTTAAACTCTAGTTCAACAGGTAGCCTGTCGCTGAGGATTTAGACGGTTATACCTGTGGTGGTGGTTGGAATCACATTTCCATCCTTCTTCAGTGCCAGACCCTTACACAGCAGGGACCATATCCACTGGTCCAGGTTTAGGATAAGTCATGTTGTGCCTCCTCCCTTCGACCGTACACGTCTTGTTTAATTTATGTGGGAATGGAGAAAATCCAGTTTTGGCTAAAAGAGAGGGATAATTATAAACTCTGTTTTAAGATTTAATTTTAAATTTATTTAAACAATGTCACATTAACTGCTGTAAATGAACTTAAGAACCTGTGGACCTGCTTTGATTTTATACAGTCCTTCTTTCAAACTGAAAAATGAACAGAGTATTAAGAGCACCACTGGGACATCCTTACTTTTGACTGAACTTGGTGATGTAAAACTAAAGGGAAAAGTTGTCAGGGGCCCTCTGACCCTTTGGCCTCATTCAGCAGCTCTAGGGTTTTATTGGCCAGCTGTTTCTGTATATGCCGCATGACGACGCCATCTTCTGCTGCGTGCAGGAAAACTCTGCTCCTCAGCTCACCTGACGCGTGCACAGACTGACTGAATGTGTTTGTGCTGCAGCTGGAGAAGCACATCGTTCGCCTCCGAGAGGAGCTGGACAGGGAGCGGGAGGAGAAGAGCTACTTCCAGCTGGAGAGGGATAAGATCCGGGCCATCTGGGACATCTCCAAGAGGAATCTGGAGGAGGTGAAGGCTGAGCAGAGGAACCGATGCAGGGAGAGAGAGGAGGCCAAGGAGCGCCACCGAGTGGAGATCACTGTGAGCTACACACACACACATACACACAGTTGTGAGGACACACACTGATGTAAGGCTTCCCCTTCCCATCACACCTAAATGTCCCTACAAGGTTGGGATGTAACTAGAATGTGCCACAGGTGGACTCCAGTCAGGGCCCAGACACGTCTCAGTCAGGATGCAGTGAATACAGTCTGGAGACTTTTAGAAAGGACACTTCAGTTTTTCATTCTCCACTTATCCATTTCAAACTACAACACAGCACAGTGAGGGAGCCTCAATACTCTGTGAAGCCACTGTAAAACAATATGTGCCACATTTCTTGACAAATTACAATGAGCTGAATCTCCCCTGTTGTAACTGGGCCAGACAGAACTCTTCACTGTGCAGTAACAGGACATGACTGTATCAAAGCACGACCCCACTGGAAGTCCACTGAGCATACTGATCTTATTTACTCCCACCCACCTCTGACCGGTTGTTGTCCAGGTGAACAAGCACAAGCTGAAGCACGTCCTCTCTGAACATCACAACACTATCTCCGAGCTGAAAATAGATAGCGCCGCCTCATCCGCGCTGATCCAAAACCAGTACACAGAGTCCGAGCTCAGGTTTCGGAGGGATGTGCACGGCATGCAGGAGGACTTCAGAGAGAAGAGGCGCCAGAACGAGAACTGCATGAAGGAGCTCAAACTGGTGAGAAGGCACTAAGCCAGCTTTAGTTCTTTCACCTGTGGTTGTGTTGCCTGTTCTGTGTGACAGACTTGGTGTCATGTGATTGTCAACAGAAGCACCAGGTGGAGCTGATGGAGCTGGTCAACGAATACGACCGGAGGGTCCGAGGTGAATAAAGCTGAGCCAGTGGTGCTCAGACCTGTCAGACACAAACCAGAGAAGGGTTGGGAGCACACATTTACCCAGGGACTGCTACTGACATCCAAACTTCTTTTAAAAACCGTTTCTTCAGTGGGAGGTGTTTGTGCAAAAACATTGATGTTAGCATTTTCTAAGAAGGTGATTAAATTTCCCTAGGAATCAATAAACACTGATGTATTTGTAATGCACAGCTCTTTAAGTGGAGATGAAACAGTAGGAAGCTGTATGACAGAGAAACAAACCGGTGCTGTGAGATGATCTACGTCAGAGAGATCAGGACAGAGTAGCAGCAATGGCTTTACACGGTGTCTGTGTGTAGCCCAAAGTGGTGGAACATCCTTTGTCTGTAAATAACAGAGCAACGGATTTTATTCTTCATAGTCGGACATTAGCTGAAGTAGTACAATTATCAGACAGAAAACTGTGACAGTTTAGTTTGAGAGTGAAAATGAAGGGTTTTTACTTTTTTACTTTCATCCTAAATTTGACTTTTAGAAGTTTGCTCAGTACAAGCCCAGACGTCCAAAAATGACACACTCTGCTCCTGAACGTTCTCTCTGCTGGTCTTCCAACAGAAGTGCAGGTGATGTATCACAAGAAGATGTTGGCGGCACAAGAGGTGGAGGCCAAGAAGCGGGCGGCGGAGGTCAGCGAGCTGGATAAACGGATGAGAAGCTACACTGCAGATCTGATTAAGAAGCACGACCGAGCTGTGAGAGGCGCTGAGGAGTACTACTACTCTGTAACTCACGCACGAGTGCTGAAGGAGCAGAGCGATCTGAAGGTGGGAGATGCCACGCACTGGCTGAAGAAACATCCACACTCCAAATAAAGCGCAGTACATGGAAACTCACACACGGTTTCTGCACCAGTCAGAAAACCAGAGACCAGCTGCTTCTGCTCTTTGGGCTGTGAGGGTTTTTGGTCACGACTATATATGTAACACAAAATTCATCTTATTAAAAGTAATTTTGCAAAATATTTTTGTTCCCACAGAAAATGTTCCTGGGAGCTAAAATATAACTCAGATATTCTTATTGTTTCACAAAGAAGATTTAGATTTTTTAGCATCTTCTCTCACATGTGGAATTTAGTTCTTTGTATTTATTTTATTATGAGATATTTCTTAAAAGCAAAGTAGGTACTGTATATTTATGATAAAATCTTTATTTTCACTACTTCAGGCACTGAGGCCTTTAAGACACTGTTCCACACCGTCAGCCACAGCAGGTGCACAGCGTTCATTTTAAACCTGGATGAGGACACGCTAGCTCTGGTTTTACGCACTGTGGTGTGTGTGTGTGTGTGTGTTTGCAGGAGAAGCTGTTGAAATTTCAAGCAAACCATGGGGTCTCGACGGCTCAGCGGAAGTACTGGCATCTGAGAGAGTCTCTGCAGAAGGCTGAGCAACAGCTGCTCGAGCTCCAGAAGCAGCTCAAGGAGTACAACACGGCCAAGGCCCAGAGGGCAGTGAGTTCACTGCACAGCGCCCAAACGCACCACCGCACGTTCTCTCTGCTTGGTCTTACTATCAGTAACTTAGGGTTGATTTTCATGTTGGTGATCAAATCCTTCTGGTTATTTGTTTTATGTATAAAGCAGGAAGCAGCTCTCAAATAGAACAGAAGGCACAGTGAAGAGATTAATGTCATGTTTGACTGGAACAAAGGCCAAAACTATGATGCCATAAACACTTCTCTGTGTGACAGGCGGCCCAAGCTTATGTGAAGGTCATTGAGAAGGACCTAAGAGACGTGACGGTGCAGCACGAGCTGCTGCTGCAGGCCTTCCAGAAGGTAAAGTCAGTTTGCCGCACGTGTTCCCTTCCTGCAGCCTGGGTGGCGTTGCTGTGAGCGTATCTTTGTCCGGCAGGTGCAGCTGGAGCGTGACGAGCTTCTGCAGAGGCAGACGGAGGCCATCGTGGCCATGCAGCAGAGGAGTGGGCTGAAGGAGCTGCTGCTGCAGAGGAAGCTGGCCACTGTCACTGAGGCTCTGGAGAAGGAGGAGGCTCGGCTGTGCACCGCGCTATCCACCTCTAACATTGAGCCAACAGCCAGCAGCAGCGCCACAAACACACTCCAGGTACCATGTTCTGTCCACACCTTGTTTCCACTGAATCCACTTCAATGTGTCCCTCCTGAGCTGTCCAGGGCTTCTGCAGCTCCTGAAAAGGCTTAAAGGAAACAACAGGGAATTACTGTTAAATACACAGTAGACGAGCTGACAGAAATATGATGTAAATGTTAATAAACCAAGTCTTTAATAAAGGATTTCAGGCCCACTGTGTGCAGGGTATCTGCAGAGCTTTGCACTGAACTAAATTCACTCCAAAAAGTATTTCCTAAGGTCTTGAATATTTTTCCTGCCTGCCGTAACTTTCGTTCCCCCTGTTGAGATGCACAAACTTAAGTAAATGAACCATTTAATTTTGAACGAGTTACCCCACACACCATCACCTGGGCACAGACCTCTGAGGCGGAGCCCCAGGCTGAACCAGCTGGGGGCAGTGGACTGACACCGCCTCCCACTGATGTCTGCTGGTGTTGTCCTGGGGTGCGAGGGCAGGGCTACAGGCTGTGGTCATTGTGGTTTTTCTTGAAGATCACATACTGTTTCCTGCTTGCAGGGACTCCTGGCGTCGAAACACGTCACCATCAGCGCCTTACAGGACGACGTGGCTCGAGAGTCCAAGGTGAGGTGTCTCAGCGTTTTATCTAATCGTCTACTGTAGTTTTAATCACCACTGATGTGGAGCTGACGTCATTGTGTGAACACAGGAGTACGAGGACCTGCTGCGCACCTGTGGACAGGCCCCGAGGGTCCCGCGGCACAACCTCGCCTCCCCTTACAAGGGGTTAACAACCTCACCTTCAGGTCCACAGAGCTGATCCTGAGCAGACCGAGCTCCAGACCCTGAACTCCTCTAGGACACCACCTGGCCTCCCACCTCTCCCTCACTCCATCACTTCCTAAACACCAGATGCACGAGATGGATCTGACGCAGTTTCCAGCCTCTGTGTGTTCCTTATAAACCTGATATAAATGAACCTTCTCAGCTGCCTCGTCCTTTATCCCTGCTGTTTTCTGCTGCTGGTGATGACGTGTTTAGCAGGTAAACTCTGAATGTTAAAGTCACTCTCGTTGTTAAACAATAAATAATCTTCAGTGGGACATCAGCGGGACAGGTTGCCATCTGAACAAAACCCGGAGATCAAACTCCTCAGTGCCTCTTGCTGCAGGACACTGTTACAAACCAAACAGCAGTGAGATAATTACAGATTTAATGTGCAGTGGCTCTGGTCAAACTGCTAGTTTGTCAGTGGAGGAGCGTTTCTCCTCCCTGTGTTGATGGGAGGCGGTGGTACCTGGTGGTGAGCCAAAGCTCTTCCTGGAGGGGTTACACAGCAGAAGGTGGCGAAAGTCAACATCTGCTGAGCAGCAGGCGAGTCACATCAGCACCTCCATCTGACTGCACACTAATTTGTGGGGTTTTCCCTGAGCTCTCAGGTTCAGGTGTGACGACACCTCCTGGCTCCCGAGGAAGTGGATTAGTAGGGTGTTTGTTTAAACACATCACTTGTAACCAACACCACATGAGGATGAGTTTGTCAACCGGTGAATTCTGTTCATTTCATCATGAACAATTAAACCCACAGAGAAACAAGTGAGATCTGAAAGTGAGTTTTCAGGAGTTTAAGCCGACTTCCCTCTGGACATTCTAATTTGTAAAACCTCGTTTCATTTCAGCTGCTCTCTCTTTTCACCAACTGACTTGAGGTCATTGCATTTTGTCTTTGTTGAATTAAGGTTCTTTAGGTTGAAATTTGTCCTTTACACTTTGTTGAAACAAGTTAAATCTTGATCCTGCTCCTCCAGCCGCCGGTGCTCAGTCTCCAGACGGACCTTCTGCTCCTCATGAACCCTTTTCAGCCTCTCCAGGTCGGGACAGCAACAGCCGGCTAACAGCAGTTTGTAACAGCTTGCTGTTATAAAAATTCTGTTATTAGACATGATTTATGCTATAGGTACTCTCTGCAGTGTCTCAGAGAAGTCAAATGGACAGTGAATACCTTACAGTGACAAGGAAGCTGTCTGAACCTGAGCTGACTGATTGAGAGGGAGAATCATAAAAGCAATCAAATACAGAAAAGAAAAAAAACTTTAAATTAGTGCAAAATGGGAAATAATTGGCGTAAGAGAACTCCATCAGAGCTAACTGGGGACATAAAATATATGAATTATAAAGACAAAAAGAATGTCAGTCTGACAAATAGATGTGACCAGGGTAAATAACAATCCCCGCTTCACAAAAGTGAGAATAGTGGGTTCTTTATTT